CAGCAATTGTGGCAGTGGTGGTGATGGCGGTGGCGATTCTGGTGGTGGTCAGGTGGTGATGGGATAGTGGTGGTGGTGATGATGGCAGCGGTTGTGGTGGTGGTGGTGATGGTGATGATAATGATGGTAGGTTGGTGATTGTGGTAATGGTGTTGGGTAGGTGGGTGTATGTGCATGTTTTTATGTGTGTGTATGTTTTTGTGGAAGGGTGTGTGTGTGTGTGTGTGCGCGGTTGGGTGTGGGTGTATGTGTGTGTGAGTGTTTGTAGACATGTGTGAGGAGGTAGGTGGGTAGCTAGGTGTGCATATGTGTTTGTGTTTGTGTGTGTTTATGTTTGCGGGTGTGTCGGTGTCAATGTCAGTGTTTATGTGGGTGGATGTTTGTGTAGGTGTATGTGTGTTTGTGGGAGTGTGTGTATGTGTGTTTGTGGGGGAGGGGTGGGCTTGGGAGTGGATGGGTGTGGGTAGGTAAGGGTGTGGTAGGTTAGGGATGATAAGGTAGGGGTGGATAGAGGTGGGTGAGGTGGGAGTGGATGTGTGTTTAGTACATTAAACTCATTTATAATTTTGAATTTGGTGCTAACTATTTAATTAACTTTCAAAATAATATATCCTTATAAGTTATTGATTTACGTCAAATAAACATGAAAATTGTTCAAAGTCTGTTTTTAAACATTACAAAAATGATCTTAATATAAAGTTAAATGTAAAACCAAAATCGAAATGTGAAATTAATTAAAAAGTTAACTAAAAACTATTTTTTTTTTTTTGCAATAATGATATTTTCTCCAAATTGATAGTTTTTGAGTTAATTAATGGGAAATCTCCAATAAAATATCAATGTTTTTTTTATCAATTTACGGTTTAATCTTAACATTTATTTTTTGAATAGAAAGTCTCGATTATCTAGTTTTATACGACAACCTGTCATTTTCTGTTGAGAAAAAAAAATAAGGACTCTTTCGTTAATTTGGGGAAAAATATAAAATAATCGGAACTTTTATATTCAAAAAATAAAAGTTGACATTAAATCGTAGACTGACCATAAATATCGAGACTTTATCGGAGATTCCCGTCAATCATGATCGAAACAACAAAATAGCCTAACTCTATAAACCCTTATGATTTATTGGTTTCAATTGCTTAATTTATCGGTTTCAATCGCTTGTTTTCAACCTATCTTTCGTAACCAAGTTACCCACATCACTTGGGAATGGATTCAATTTTGAAGAAAGGTAACGAGAAAAAAAAGAGTTCAATTAGTTCCGAGAATTAGGCAATGAACGATGATAGAAAGAGAAGGAAGTAAGAACATGAGGTGCTTGAACAAAGCAAGTATGCCTGTATTTCTTGCGAATTTGAAGAAACCCAAATATAGATACAACTCTTACCTTTCAATTATGGTTGTGAAATCGGTTGAGGTCTCTGCTTCGTCTTTAATTTAAAACGAGAGAGGTTTTGAATAATATCTGAGGGTGTCGTAATGTGATCAGATGTATTGGGAAGAGATTACAACCGGAAAGGATGGACAAATGGCTTACAATTTGTTGGTCGAGTATGGCTCCGGAGGAACCCTAGCTGATCTCATCAAATAATCTGGTCAAAATGGGTTGCCGGGATCGGATGTTAAATGTCATACTAGGTTAGTTCTTCATGGATTACATCATAACGGGTATGTCCACTGCAGAACAAAGTTGAAAGAGTCGGAGTTTTGGAAGCTAGAGATGTGAGGTCATTAGAGGGACGCAGTGGCTAAGAGACACTGTTGAGTAAAGAAGAGAAAAGCAAACCTGAGAGTTTTAACCTATTCGACTAAGTTGTTTCAATATTACAAAGTAAGTCAACCAAAGTTTTTCTAGTCAAATTTGTTTTGGTTTTAGATCTATCCAATTTATTTAGAGAACTAGACGAATTATCGCGCGTTGCGCAACACATGTTTAAAATATATTGTTAGAATATTCAAAGATATATCTTTATAATGGTTATGATATTGACAGTAATTTTGATATAATATTTGTACACTAATATATATATATATATATATATATATATATATATATATATATATATATATATATATATATATAATCTCATCTATTTTAAACAATAATATTCATTGACATCAACCCACATTTCTCATAAACAGAATTAAATATAATTATCTATTTAGTATTATTTTTAGCAATTGTTATGATTGATTAATTTAAATTTTTATTTATGCAATTATTTTCTAATTTCATTAATGATGTTTATTTAAAATACAGTTTAGTTGTAGCTAACATTATGTAATTTTTAATTTGATGTTATTATCATTGAAAATTATTGTTCATTAGTTTTAACACAAAACCTTTAGACTTGTTTTCTTTGTGAAATTTTTATGTGATTGGTGTAACACCCGTAGATCCGGATTAGTCAATTTAGAGACGATAAGCATCAAAAATGACTTTTTGATATAAGGGTGTTCAAAATAAATAATAATAACCAAGTTGTAGTATATGTCATAAGGTTTCCGTGCATATAAAGAATGCCGAAATCCGAGTTATAATGAAGAAGTTATGATCTCTCGAAGTTTCGTGACAGAACCGGCACGACACAACGCGACGTAAATAGTGAATTTACGTTAGAGCGATATTTAGTCTTGGCAATCTATATGAAAGTCGTAGAATATGTTAAACCAAGAGCGTGCATAAAAAGAACGTCTAAATATGACTTCATATGAGGCAATTATGATTTTTCAAAGTTTCAGCATTAGCAGTGTACAGCTCGAAACTCGAATATTAGATCGAGCGGTTTTTAGTCGACACAACCTAAATGAGAATTGAAGATCTCATTATTAGCAGCATAACGATAAAAAGACGGACGAAGATGGACATCGGATGAAGAAGTTATGAGATTTTAACAGACCAATTCTGTCCCGGCTTGTTAAAAATATAACTTAAAAAATAAAGTCAAAATTAGCCGACAAAGTCTAAATGAAAGTTGTAAAGTACGTCTCCACCTATGTGTGGATATAAATGACGTCAAAAACGGAGTTCGTATGAAGGAGTTACAAGTTATAATAGCATATTTACGTATTAAAATAAAGTATAAATCATATATGCGTACACATATATATACATATGTATATATCATTAGAAAGATATCGACGATGCGGTCATTATAAGACTAATATTAAGTTTTTTCGACATTAGTTTAGTACAAATATCGTTAAATATATTTAAAATAGTATTATAAAATGGTGTTTAGTTGTTTATATAACTAAAATGCCATTAATTAATTATGAAGGGTAGTTTTTGAAAATTTAATTAGTATAAATAAGAGCATTGGGCTCTCATATTTCTTGCACCATTCTCTTGATTCAAGAGTCTTTCTCTCCTTATCCCCCGAGCATTTCGGTCCCTCGTGATTCGACTTCTCTTTCTGTAGTTTTTAGTATAGTAAGGTGAGCGCTGAAACGCTGCACGAATCTTTCTTAAAAAGATTCAGCGACGAAGTTATGCCCCTACAGAGCCCGACTCCTAGCTAAAATCTCCTTGTAAATAAGTTATTCTTACCATATTTTAATATAACTTATATTTAAAATTAATATTGTTATTATGAACTTATAATAAATTTTTGAGCTATTATTATGACTTATATAAGTGTCGTTATAATATCTTTTTAACTACTCGCGGTACGGGGAATCTGGTTTAAAGGGCCACATAGGGTTGTTGGATTTCAGAAGTGTTATACGTCAAAATGGTCCTGCCTTCCGGTGTTTTATGTCTGGTCCTTGTCTGTACATAGTTGTTGGAAAGTATTGTTTAAACGTTTATATAATAATAATAATAATAATAATAATAATAATAATAATAAGACTAATAATTAGTCACGGTAAATATTAGACTAAAATCTAGTTGTAATGATATTAGGTTTTGTCGAAAGAAATTATTTTAAAGTAAATGAAGCATTGTCCGAGTACCGAGTCACCATCTTCTCAGGTGAGTGCATAGTTACTTTCATCTTACACATATATATATGAAGTATTTTATATAAACTACGTGTTATGTGTGCATATTATCTAAATACTTCATGTCTATGTTGAATGAACGTTTTTTTTATACATGTTTTAAATGATTTGAATTGTATGCGTATTTTAAATATACAAGTATGTTGGGTATGATATGGGTAGATGAATGATGAGAGATAAAAGATGATGTGAGTAAACATTGGCAGCTATAGACTTAGTGTATAACAAATAACATCGGCAGCTATGGATTTAGTGCCTATTGGACAAACACTGGTAGCCATGGACTTAGTACCTGTTAGGAATTGGTAGTTATGGACTTAGTACCTATTAGATAAACACTGGTAGCTATGGATTTAGTACCCAACAGCTATGGAATTAGTGTTTTACGAACGAGCATTGGCAACTATGGATTTAGTGTCAATCCTATAACTCTGGAAGCAAAGGACTTCAGAATGAACGGATGCGGGATAGATGACTCTTAGGATAGATCCTTAAGAGTAAAGAAGATAATGGGGATGGGTAGTTGGGTCGATTGTTTGATTGTTTAAACATAATAATTATATTATTGTGGGTTGAAAACCCTATGTACTCACCAGGTTTCCCAACCTGACCCACTCAGTTTATTTATATTACAGGTGTTGAGATTAAGTCACATTACACTGAGAGATTAAAGAGATATAGATCACTAGTGTAAATAAATATAAGTTCTGTTTATGCTTATGTTTCTGTATTGACGATGACATCCCAAATGTTTTAAAACGAATTAAAAATATTTTTCTTCGGAAATGTTTTGATAACGTATTTATCATGTTTTACTGGGAACAAATTCCGCAATATTTTTATTAAAAGAGGTACTCTGATTTTTATAAAGCATAAACAAAATAGGTATTTTCTGGACGTGAAAATAGGGATGTCACAATCATGCATATCCCTGCTTGAACCAACAACTCAACAGGTAAGTCTTTAGCAGCAGAATAATTCTGTTGTGCATACTAAATATGTTGAAGAGCTTTGTCATGTGCATTTCCCAACATATGCATTGAAGCCAATAAATGGACCACACTCAGATCAGCATCTTTTGGGTTCTTTCTCAAATAATCATCTAGAATGCTGACAATGCGTTCATGCTGACTACATCTTTGGTACATCTGAAAATACCAAAAAAGTTAATTAATACCCATTCATTCAAATTGGAAAATAACATATTATATATATATATATATATATATATATATATATATATTTGTAAGTCCAAAGTCGAAACCATTGTTGTTGTCTTCAATGCTTCAATCCATGTAACAAGCTGCAAAAAAAAAAGTATAGCTTCTTCATAGTTTATTTTCTAGTAGCAATACTAATATTTATAATTTACCTGGTAGATGATATTCTCTTTAGCATTTTATCAAATAGTTTGGGACTGAATGAATGATCTGAATATGAAGAAGGTAAAATGACCATTTTAACCTACTTGCTAGAAAAACAAACCTGCAACCAGGCTTGTTTCGTGTTCTCTTGAACTATAAATTGCTTAGTATTTTGATGATATTGCTATAATTGGGTGGATAATTCAAAGTACAATGTTGTAAATGTAATAGGAAGAAATGAAATAAACTAGTGAAAGTAAGTCGCTATTTCACATTAAAATGATCAAATATGAAGTCAGCAAAGCAAACCTCACGGTAAATTTTCTCAATTTGTTTCTGGAGATTTCGAACCCATGCTTCTCTACAGTAATTTTCTATCAAGGAAAGAAGAGTTGCATGTGTTACTTCAACCTAAAATATTTTGAAATTTAGATCAGTTATTCATTATCAATTTATATTACTACTTGTTATTCTGTTTATTGGGAGTATTGTATGTATAGCAATTGAAGGATATATACAGACTTCATATCAGATATTAACTATCATCTTTTTTTTGAACTTAGAGAGAGAGAGAGAGACCTGTTAAGGCTTCCTGCAACCAGGGTCGTTTGTTCTTCAAGCGGCTCCCTTGTGCTTTTTCTTCAAGCAACATATTCGTCAAGGTCGGTCCTAGCTAATTTTGGGCCTAGGGCGAAAGTAAAAATGAGGCCCCGTAAAAAAAACAAATATTATAATCAAATAACTAAAATTAATAGTTCATTTTTTGGAAAGATACAGAGTAGCTACACACCAAAATAGATCAAGAAAAAAAACTAAACAAGGGACAAAACAATCTTAAGTATATGAGCTAAGACCACAACCCCACAAAGTTAGTAAAAAAAGGCTTTGACCAAAGTAATTCCAAGACGGGCAATTTTGTCCAACTAAGACCAAAAGGAGCAAACCTCTTTCCATTACCCATCATTTATTACTTTATTTTCAACAACTATAATAATCTTTATGTGAAGGGTAATTCGACATTTATTACTTTATTTTCAACAACTATAATATTAACGAAAAAAAGTAATGAAATAACATATATCAAAGAACACAAACAATAAAAAAAACATATCAAAAGAGTCAGGATACATGAAAAAATGAGAACCAAAGATGAAATAGTGAGATACAGTTGGAGCAAGAGCCAAAAGAGTCAGATACATGAGCCCAATTCAAAAATCAGAATCAAATATCATGGTTACACTAATTAAAAAGAAACATCTCTTAACAACCTTAACCCTTACTCTTAACAGGTTGCAACAACACATCCCACACCCACCCTTGCACGGTGGCCTGTGGTGAACCTGGGAGGAACACCAGCGATAACGACGTGCTGATCATTTTTAATATAACACACACGCACAACACAACAAACTCCATAATCAAAAAGGTTGCATAAATCACCACACACATCCATATTTAGATGCCAATGTATAGTTTCATATTTGCACTCTTTAAATATAAATAAATTTACGTATCTTTTTTTTTATATTTGTTGTAGGGTGATGTGGATATATTTTTCCCAACTGATTTTTGGCTTTTGGAGTGGATCGACCATTACAATTCCGGGTATATGTAGCTTCATACATCGGTGTTTATGGAAGAGTTTGGTTTGACCACAAAAACAAAGATAAAAGATGGATATAACCTTCTTCTCAAAGACTTTTTAAATACTAAATTTTACCTGAGTGTTCCGACACATAACACCAAATAAACACTTCAATACAAAGAAAGAAAAACTTGAAGAAATAGTGCATTTTAGAGCTTTTCACTGTTGTATTGTAGAGATACGTGCATTTTTATGCAATAAATATCAACATATACTTTTATCTTTTTTTTTTCCTTTTTTAAAATTGAGGGGTGTATTTTTTTTATTTACATGAAACTGATAAATAGATCCACCGAGACCTCACCTCACCTTCTCTGACACTGAAAACTAAGAGGTTTTGAAGGGAGGGGTTGGGTATACACAACTGAAATACAACAAAAGTGTAAATAACAAGTGATAAGTACTGAAATACCATTTCAACTGGGCATTGAACCTAAATCATTAGAAACCAAATTTTTAAATATTTATTATAGCTTTAATACATGGGCACAAGGTATAACTTAGGGTACTGGTGAGACCTCCAATTTTGAATGAGATGGTAAAAATATACAAAAAAATAAAGTAACCTTGTTAAGCAACCTCTTTGGTTCCTTGAATGCTGCTTTTTTGGCCCGTTGATGGATTAAATGGGAAACATATGCACGTTCTTCACTGTTGAATCTGTTTGATCAATAAAACATATAATTCAAATTCTGTTAATTTCAACACTTTAATACTGAAAGTAATAATATAAATAACACATTCTAACCTTTTTAAGAAATCATTGACATCACATGGAAATATTATTTCACATGATTCTTTGGAATCTTGATCGAATAGTTTTGTTTCCCAAAAAGATGACAAGGTGGCCTTTATGACCTCGCTAGTCTGCTTTAATACCAATCTGGAATAATAATATTTAATCAGAAAAAACACAGAAGATAAAATCAGAATTTATAAATATATAATATAGAAATATAATAGAAATAACAGTTTATAACCTGATTAGATTCTCCTTTAGCCTTTGGACTGGAGAATATGTTGACTAAAGACTGCTGAACATATTTAGTTAAATTATTGAGACTACTAAATCCAAATTCCTTCTGATAGGTAGGTGATTGGGTACCAGAAGTAAACATGTCAGCTCCACTACACAAAAAATGTTGTCTATTATATTTCAAAATGAAGTTAACAAGCTCATAAAGGAAAGAAATTAAAAGAGATTTTTGTAAATTTTGTATATGAAGTTAACAACCCTGCTTCAATAACATGCCAAATAAAGTTTCTGCTTTGGTTGTCAAACCTACAACAACAACAAAGAAAGATGTCAAACTTAATTACTAAGGGTATCCTTATTAACACAAAATACATTTCACCATCTTTGCTAAGATTGTTAACAAGTTGACTTGTTGCTAACAAGCCATCACTAATAAACATTGATTTATTGGTAAAAGTGAACCTAAATTCCTAGTATTATAGTTCAATTATTTTGTTCTCGAGTCCATTTGTTGCATATAGATAGACAAAGTAGCAAAATTGGTCTCATCTTGGTGAAAAACTAATAGAGACATTATGTCGAGCACCTTGTGGGCGTCAGTAACTGACCTAACAGAAACATTGTGTTGAGCACCTTGTGGGCGTCAATAACTAATTCATGTTCATGGAAACAACCCTCCAAAGTAGCTTTACGACTAGACAAAGAATTTGACCCCATAAATTAGAGGAAAAACCACTCAAATCGTATCTTCTAAGGGAACAGGGAATATAAAGGGATTATCTAAGGTGAGAATCTTTTTTTATTGTGATTGTGGACAATAATACATGGAACAATACACATATTGCTACAGTGGGAAGGCAATATCCTCATACGAGGATAAAGCTTATGAGATTATGAGTTCAACACGAAAATTGAAAGTATGCAGCTACGAAAGAACCTCATTTGTAAAATTCCACACAACCAAGGACGCCAAACACACTAGGAGCCGAACCCAAGAACCTTAAGCTAATTACGTGAGATATTTGACATGGGGAGTTCAAATTTTTTATTAATCACCCACCAAAAATAGATAGGGATCAGTTTTGAGAAAGATATAAGATAAAAGAAATGGAGACGTCGCCATGGAGGGTAATAGTTTTAGAGAGAGAGAGAGAGAGAGAGAGAGAAAGAGAGAGAGAGAGAGAGAGAGAGAGAGATGTTGCGATGAAAACTATATCGACTAAAACAACCAAAATCTAATTTTTATCATGAGAAAACCAGTAAGCTTCGGGATTTTTTAGAAATTATGGAGGAGTGAGGATAGAAGAACGAAAACATTAGGAAGAGAGAAAAAACAAAACATACCTTAGTCAAACTAGGGCATGTAAATTTGAGCAATCGTCCTAGTCTCTGTCGAGGTCAGATGCCAGGGTCTCCGACGAGGAGAAGTGAGCACGAGGTCACCTGAGGAGAGGTTACCAAAGAGGTTTTCGAATGGACGAGGCGAGACGAGGTGAGACGAGGTGAATCTTTGACTGTTGCTACATCCGGTCTATGAATGCTTTGACGTCTTCCCTTAATAGTTGGTGTGTGATGAGTCGAATAGATTTCTTGTATGCTAAATGGATGTGAGATTGAAGAAGAAAAGTGTACGTGAAGGAAGTGTTTTTGAAAGTCTTGATGAAAATCACGATTATATGTAAGTGGGAAATAAAAACCCTAGTTGTTGGTCGCCATTTTGTGATCTTCAAGAATGAACGCCACATTTTAAGAAAAAAATTATAGAACGATTATATGAGTTGTCGAGGTTTATAGCAGAGATGGTATCGTGGTTAGGGTTTGCAGAGAGAGAAGGGAAGAAGAGAACGAAGGGAGAAGGGAGATATTGAAGTGGGGTATTTAAAAAATTTAGAATTTTAAGAGGATTTCATTTCCCCCTAATAAGAACGCGTGTTTTGAGTAAAAATTATAAAGCGACATTAACAGAGGACGCATATTTTAGATAAAGTGCCCTCCGTGTTTTTTTACATGAGACACTAATTTAAGGGCACGCAATAATGCGTGACCTGAATCCTTAATTTTTTTTTTGAAGAGATGACACTTTTTTAATGTCACTCCCTTTTGCGTAACATAAATCAATGAGTGTCGTGGTTTGCACATCATAAAAATGTTATTTTTCTTGTAGTGATATATATATATATATATATATATATATATATATATATATATATATATATATATATATATATATATATATATATATATATACGTAACAAGTACTATAATTTAGAAATTCAAATCACCATTTTTTTGGATCGTTCATTCTCTTTCAATATTTCATGGCTTTCAGGAAAAAAATGAAAGTACTATAAAAGAGTATGATAGTTTTTTTAATATAATAATGAAAATTTTCAAATAAGTAGTTTTTAATTACTAAAAAGTAACAATTATTTAAAATAACGTAAAACTAAAGAATAGATTAAAGACAAAATTGCAAAAATGGTCCCTGTGGTATGCAAATTTTTGGGGTTTTCGTTCAAACAGTGACTTTTTTGGTTTCGTAGTCATTTTGGAGTGGTTTGTATGTAATAATCCCAAGACGATTTTGATTTTTGAGTCTATTTTCCCGAGCGGTTGAGTGAGCCGGTGATGCAAGATCGAGGATTTTGATTTTTGAGTCGATTTCCCCGAGAGATAATCCCAAGAACACACGGTTTTCAATCAATTTTTTACTTCCATTGGGCTTGGTGGGATTACTGAGAATTTGAGGGAGTATATCAAGAACATGCCTCGTCTTATTATGCAACAAAAGTCTGCGTCGTAATCGGATTCCGGTTCCGGTTCCGGTTCTGATTCTAGTTCTGATTCTGATTTCGGTTCCGATTCTAGTTCGGGGTCAGAGTCGGAGAGTGAGAGTGAGAGTGATCATAAGAGCAGCAAGCGCCAAAAGAAACGTTAGCATCTTTATGTTGAGATGAAAATGAATATCTGGTTTTTGGTATCTTGTAAGATGTTAATAACTAGTTGTTTTTGGAGGTTTGTTTTATTTGATTGTAACGTTATATGATTTTAAGCAAACTGGATCTCAATGTGTAAAATCTGTAATGGTTTTGTGATTTTGTTTTTAAAGAATTTTTTTATGGGATGTTTAGAGTGATCAATTTATTGAGGTTCATACATGGATCAACACAACTCACAACCTAATGACATGTTAAAACTAAAGTTCCTAATGCTATCCATCAACAAAATATTTATGCAATCAATAAATATTGGAATTTTAGATTTTTTCTTAATATTTCAGGAATTTTAGCCTATGTTGTTTTGTGGGCATTAATGCTAAAACTGATTTAATTAAAATAAATAAATAAACTATATAGCGAGGAGTTGAATATGATTGTAAAAAAGATAAAATGAAATTATCGTTATTATTACGTTTATGTTTATGTTGTTGATATATTATGTATGAGGATTTAATCTTCATTCATTCGTTCAATAAGAAAACTGATGGTGACTTTATTTTTATAAAAATAAAATGAAATAAAAATTAGTATCATTTTTTTATAAATACAAAAGTATATAAATAAAAAATATAAACAACAATATACTTAAAGATTTAAGTTTTATTTTTTAAGACTTCATTTTGTTTTATCATTTACTATTTAAATTATAATATTATCAGGTATCATACTATTTATATTATTATTATTATTATATATATATATATATATATATATATATATATATATATATATATATGATAAGGGTGTTAAAGTAATTTAGTTAACTAAATTAATTATTATATATTTTAAATTCATATATAATTAATTTTGAAGAATACTGTTATATATGATTGGGTTAATCATTGTGGACCAATTATATAATGTATAATTTACTTCATCATTTCATTCATTAAATAAGGTTGTATATAACCTAATTCTTTAAGAATACATATTAAAAAAGTCATTTTCAACCATTTTATTTTGAAGAACATTCTTACATATAAGTTTTAGTCATTCTTAAAGAATTCAAAGTAAAACATGATCATCTTATTCTCATTTTCAACTATTTATAGTTAGTCATTCTTTTAAAAAATTTTCAATTAATTGCAAGATTCATATGTAATTCTTTAAGAACACATATTAAAATCAATTTTTAACTATTAGATTCTTAAAGAATATGGCTACTAACAAGATATTCATATTGTATTCTTAAAGAATAAAAACAAAAACCCTTTTTTGTGTGACGATTAATTATGGTCACCGATAACCAAAACGTTGATCATGAATACATAATTCATTAAGAATATAAACTAGAGAAATATTTTTAACATTTTCGTTCTTAAATAATAATTGTCGCATTCATAAAGAATACAAATTAACAAACCATTTTTTGTTATGTTTCTACAACTACTCGAACTTTTCGTTTATAAAAAGCATTAGTAATTGTGGTAACGGCAAAAAGGATTTAATAAGAATGGAGGTTATGAAATGAAATCCTTTATTAATAGTAATTTCTTAAATTGTTGTTGAGCAAATTGTCATATTTACCCATATCATTTATTTTAAAATATAAAATAATTAAATTCTTTCTTATTAATTACCATAATGTCATTGTCATCTTAACCACTAATTTTTTTAATCTAATGGACAAGAATCGGTCATACAATCATACAATTTTTACAAGTTTTATGTAATCCTCTATATATATATATATATATATATATATATATATATATATATATATATATATATATATATATATATATATATATATATATATATATATATTACAACTAAAAGGGCCAAACAACGGGGATCAAATTGACTAAATGGGCTATACACTAATTTGAATTAACAGCTTTTACAAGGTTTGACTTAGACCCATGTAGCATCTTTCTTTAATTTCAACAATACCATCTTATTTGACTTCTTTCTTCTTGTCTGCAATTTCGAAGGTTGTGTTTAATCAATCAATAAATTACTCTTTCAACTCATCTTCTTGTGTTTCAACTAGCTTATCTAGGTATCCATGTTGGGTTAGATGCATTGTAAAACAAATAAAGAAAACATATAATGAAACCGAAAAAAAATTCAAAAGTTTTAACCCCAATAGACAGGCTAGTGGTGATCACTTGGGGTTAAACACTTACAAATGAATGGATCTTAAATTAGAATCCAACAATCTTCAAATTTGGTTGGCTTAGTTAATAAAACTACTTACTATCTTTTGAAACTCTTGCGTATAACACCGAACGAAGGTTTTAGATTATTCACATAATTTGCCACTACAAAGTTAATAAAAAATATTATTGGCTTAATTTATAACGATTTTTCTCTCTCCTTTTTTTGTTTATCTCTTGGATGCATAAACTTCAACTCCCGGTAATCAATACACATCCAGTGTGAACCATCGTTCTTCTTGACAAAAAGGATCGGTGCTCCCCAAGGTGAGCTACTCGGTCGAATAAACCCCTTCCCCAACAGCTCCTGAAGCTGCGAGGATAACTCCTGCATCTCTGGCGGCACGAGGCGATAAGGCACCTTGGCGATAGGTGCTGCTCCCGGAACCAAATAGATACGGAACTGCACTTGTCTTTCCGGAGGCACGCCCGACAGTTCCTCGGGAAAAACATCCGGAAACTCACAAACTATCGGGACCTCGTCAATCGAACTTTGCCTCCCCGCGGCCACTCGTGTGTCCATCACATAGGCTATGAATCCACTACAACCTTGTTGCAAACTCTGTCTCGCCCTGGCAGCCGAACAAAACGCTGACCCACACCGGGTCCCTTCGCCATACACAGTAAGCACTCCCCCACTATGGTCTCGTATGGTCACCAGCTGTCTCTTGCGGTCAATAACCGCTCCAAACTTACTCAACCAGTCCATGCCCACGATGACACAGACATCTCACATCGCGATAGGAACTAGACCAATTGGGAACTTGACACCAAAAATCTCGAGCACACATCCTCGAATCACCTCGGTGGCATATATTGCTTTCTCATCAGCTATGGAAACCCTCAGGGGTCAACTCATCACCTCCCGATCAATACCGATGTGCTGACTAAAAGCCAAAGATACAACAGACCGACTCGCACCCAAGTCAAATAATACCAAGGCAGCTACAAAATTCACAATAAAAGTACCTACGCATATCATAATATAAGCACAATATCTCAACATGAAAGTAAATACATGAAAGAATACATACCAGCCACGACATCGGGTGCCACGCGGACCTCCTCCGCATTCAATTGAAAAGCTCTCCCACGAGCCTTTGGAGCCTCGGCCTTCGCCGGTCGAGCCTCGGTAACCCTAGCAGCAGGCGCACATCCCTGGTGAAGCTGAGGACACTCGACCTTCCGATGGCCGGTCTGGTTGATATGGAAGCAAACCATAAATCCCTTGGGGCAATCCCTGGCGATATTCCACTCCTTGCCACATTTGTAGCAAGCACCCGATCGACAGGCCCCCTCATGACCCTTGCCGCACTTTCCGCAAGTGCGGCCCTTCTGGCCTCCCGTCCTCGAATCGGCGGACTTGGTCTGCTTGGCTACCAGCTGAGACTGAGTCGGCCGCCTATCCATCCTCTAAGACTCGGCCTCCTCCCTGGCCTGAGTCTCCAACTCAATCTCCCTCTTCCGGGCATTTGCCTGGAGCTCAGCAAATGTCCGGTACGTCGAATGTCCCTCCTCAGAATACCCAAATATCGGCTCATCCGTGCCTGCTCAGTAGACACCTGCTCAGGGCAGAACATCGCCCTTTCATGAAACTTCTGGGTGACCACAACAACTGAATCATTACCCTGGTTAAGGGTCAAGAACTCCTGACTCAGTCATTCCCTCTCCACTGGGGGAACATACTCGTCACTGAACATGGT